AGTATTCTGATTTTCTTAGAGTCTCAATTATTATGGACAGTACTGATACTACTTTGTAGTTTTTCTTGCATTGCAGTCATAGAACAGTTGAGAATATTTTTGGAAGAAGAAAATAGCTGTGTTCAAGCAGTGAATGGATTTCTGAATTGAAGTGCATTCTTTTTTCCGTGTTTAATGAAGTATTTCCATTTCACAACTTCCCTATTCCACAAAGCCCTTTGTTAATCTTGAGGATGCATCTTTATGCTTTAAAGCTGAAAGCAGGATTTTCTGCAATTTTTAGTTGTCAGAAGAAATTGTCAATTTGGTTTCAGTTTGGAAGTTTAAGAAGCCTAGGTCAAAGTTCTCCTTTTTGTTGGTTGGATATTTCTACTTGGCATGTGAAAATCCACAGCTGGGTTAATAGTAATCAAGGTGGCACAAGGCAATCAAATGTGTTTGTTTCCTGACAGGTGATAAATCTGTTGAGGAGTTCATCATTAAAGTCCTTATAATCCCATTGTGTCCCTAGCATATCCTGCTACTGAGCTACAGACCACTTGTAAATGACCAGTAGAGAATAGGGAATATGATAAGTAGCTTGAATTAGCCAAAAGCAAATTACACCAGTCTAGCCTAATTTCCTCCTTTGATACAAAACTGGCATAGTGGGCTATGGAGATGTAGTATGTGTAATATACCTTGACTTTAAGCCTTGGATACTGTTGAGTGGATACCGGAGGTAAGCTTTAGAGTGCATAGCCAGCGTGTATTAATGGACTATCACAAAGATGAAATTTAATGGTTTTAATGAATTACATAGATGAATAGATATTTCAAAGGTAGTGATGATAGATCTGAATTTTGGGCAAACTATACTAATAACAGAAACAACATTAGATTTTCTATTATACAAAAATCTATTATAAGAAATATATGAGCAAAATATTTCATCTTGTACTTAACAAGTGCAAAGATAAAAAATAAATTATGCCACAATGTCTATTAAAATTAATTGTCTGATTTTAAAAAAGTTTTCCTCTCACACATTTTTGGAGGTGAAAATTTGAAATCTAGAATTTCCTTTAAATTTCCCTTTGGTATACACCATATTTTTATCACTTTTATTCATACTTGAATTTACTGTAGAAGAAGCTCCTTGTTTAGTTCTCTTTTCCCATGAACAAGACAATTATTCCTATAAAATTCTTTGCAAGTTTAGCTTTGTTTTCTTTTACTATTTTCTTGCAACAATGCCTTTATCACACTACACATTGTACAACCTCTCTCATCCTCTTAGCAATATCTCTGTTTTTCTCATCTACAGCATTTTCATTCCTCATCCTTACACCCTGCATTTTTCATACTTTCTATCAATATAAATCCAGACACTTCTGTAGCACTCTGTAACACAATTCTTTTAACTTTATTTCCTTCTATTCACTTCCCATTCATTTTGTGGCTAAATTAATCTATTTCCTAATACTTTTTTCTATAAAACATTCAAACATTCTCTTCTAGTTCCTCAGATCAACTCAGCTTAACAAAGCTCAACTTAGGTCTCCTTCCTTTCCGTCCCCTCCTCTTCCCTCCATCATATGTCTCACATTCGGAACCTGAATATGGAGTTCACCAAAGAATATCCATTCTTAATACTTATTACATCTCTGAATGCCCAATCATTTTATTTTATCATCTAATTTTAATCCATTCACATCACCCAAGAAAATAATTTTTCCACTGAATAACATTCACTCAGACTGTTGCACATTTTTATCCTGGAACTTATCCCTATTTTTCCCTTATCAGTTTTTATTGGAATGTAAGTTCCAATTAACAACCTGTGGTTTCCTACTTTTTATATGCATTCACCTTAACTTGCATCACATTAATTCATTTTTCACATATATACATTTAGCCCTTTCATTCATAATTAAATACATTCTTAACTTCTTTAAATGTATTCATAAGCTTCACTTTAAAAGAACAGACCACCATTACTCAAATCTATTACTGTACGCTCTTTATTTTCCTCATAGTTTCACAGACACATAATGTATCTATTTCCTCGTTTTTAATATATATAGTACAGTAGATACCTGTCCTAAATGAACTGAAGCTTCATTAAACTTTGCATTTGTGATGACGGGGGGAGGGGGGGATACAACATAAACACAGTCACAAAAACCCGGTGAAGCCCCTTTTATTCCTTAACATTGCTTCCAAGCTCCAAATATCCTTGACGGAAGACAAAAACTCCCACACAAGCAGTTACAAGAAGAAGGGAAAAACACAAACCAGGCAAGATAAGGGCTGGAGGACATCCACAGATAACAGAACACACACTGGGAAGGACGGCAAACTTGGAGAGGAACCATAAACTAGAGATATTTCCATGCTTTGTTTCCTACGCATGTCCATCCTCTTATTCAGTTCTCACACCTGCAGCCCATGAAGAGGATCAAGGCCCTCTCCTCCCGAGTAGACCACGTCTCTCCCTTATCCTCTCCTCCCTGCGTGCCCTAGAATGGAGAAGGGATGGGCCTGGGTCCTCCTCTGACTGCTGAGCTGGCTTCTGCCATTCCCCAGCCTCCTCCACAACCTCCAAGAGCCACACTTCCACTCCCTGTCGGCTGTTTGTCCTTTCTCTCAGAGTCAGTCTCCACCAGGGGCATGACAGCATTATTTACAAGTAGCATGAGATATAACTCTGCTGTTCTGTCTTCTCACTCATGCCACATTGTGTGCCTCAAAGTTGAATAGCTGTGGAGTATTGCCTCACTTTTCCGATTCTGCAGTCCAGCAAACTAGTATTTGTGTGATACTTTTCTTTCACTGGCTTAAGAACAAAACCCGATGCTTCAGTTTCCTTAGTTCAAGTATTTGTTGCTGGATATTGATAAGATATTCTGAAAATGCATTAAAGCATTTACAGTATTTATTTACTGGTTTGTTTTTATGAAACCGTTGATAACTTTGTTAAGTGTGGCTTCCTTTTATGATACTAGGTTGTTCAAACATAGAAAAAAATGGGATTCGTGCATTTGGACCTGCTGCAGATTTCTTCTTAAAATTTGTCCTTTGCCAAGTCTGGAGACTTGAGTTTGCTTGGGCTGAAGGCAATTGTCTAGAGTAAAGTGGTAATGCCATAGTTAGTCCAAAAATGCTTGCCCCTCTCTAAGATTTTTTCTTTCAAAAGGGCAACTAGACAAGAAAGTCCAGTTTCCTTTTGAAAGAAAGCACTTTTGGGACAACCATGATGTGGATGACTGAGAATCTCCATTGACATTTGCCCCTCTCTAGATCAGTGGCGGGATTCAAATTTTTTTACTACCGGTTCTGTGGGCGTGGCTTGGCGGGCGTGGCAGGGGACGGATACTGTAAAACCTCCAGTCAGAGGTGGTATTTGCTGGTTCTCCGAACTACTCAAAATTTCCACTACCGGTTCTCCAGAACTGGTCAGAACCTGCTGAATACCACCTCTGCTCTAGATTCAGGAAAGAGAAGCAGAGCTGCAGTTTTATAGCAGAAACTGAGTGACTGGCTGGTCCTTTTGGTATCACCCCCCCCCCTCTCTCTCTCTCTTTCTCTCTCTCTCTCTTTCTTTCTTTCTTTCTTTCTTTCTTTCTTTCTTTCTTTCTTTCTTTCTTTCTTTCTTCCCAATCCCCAAACAGTATTGCATTAAAATAGGCTTATATTTAAAGAAACAAAAAGAAGAACAAGTTCTTGATTTAGCACATGGGCACTTTTCACCATAAAATGGTACACAACCTTCCAGCAATGTTATTTGGGGGGGGAGGGGGGGGGGCTAATGGCTGTGCCAACCTTCAGTTCACACTATGCACGCCTGTCATTTCAGATGTGAAACTCTAAGAAAATCAAGCTCACCCAGCTGCTTATGGACCAACTGTGAGTCCTCCTTTTGGTTACACTGCCTTAGTCTAATGTCACATTCTATATCTCTACTTTTTTTTATAAAAAAACAGGCATTTCAGACATGAAACAGCTTTATTTTCATATAAATTGCAGGAAAAGAGTGATTGGGCTTGGGATCCAGGATACTTGTAAAGAGGAAATTAATATTGTTATATACTGTAAGACAAGCAAAAAGAACAATTTTAAATACTTAGTAGGAGCAAGCTTCATTAAATGCAGGGGGACCTCTGAGTAAAAATGTCTAAGATTGCACTGTTACACTCCTGTTTTTTTGATAACACTAATTATTACTTATACATACTTATGTTTACTATTCATTCCAAGAAATTGTACCAATCAGAGGATAACTGGGGTTCAGGTACTCAGACACATACATTATTTAGATTAAAAAAAACTTATGTGAGAAGAAAGCAGCTCTAGGTCATACAAATCTTTTCTCTTAAATGCAAATGAAATTTCACCATTCTCCCCATTAGCAGACATCTCTTATTGGTAATTTGTATTCTTTTCTTTTGTTCACATCATAATGAATGCTGAGCACAGGCAGAACCTGAGCTTTGAGATGCTTTCACTTTTGTCTTCCTCTCCAAAGCTACAGAGGATCAAAAGGACATAAATTGGCATTCAATATACCAAATGACTCTTGCTTCTTCTTTTTAATTATGTAACTTAAAAAATAATCAATTTTGGTAGACAAGTAGATTTAAATTCTGCAAGAGCAAAACACCAACGATGTCCTCGTTGTGTTTTGTCTGGTCATAAATCTTTCTCTATGGAATGTTCCAAGCTGCAATGCTTTATCGGAAGTGTTCCTTTGGGAAATGAAATAAGTCCTGATCCGTATAGTTTTCTATTTGTCAAGTGGAAGACTTTTTTCCCCCCTTCCTGTCTTATTTTACCTGTTTCAGAGGTCTCATCAAAATGGATACCTGCTTTTAGCTACCTAATGCCTTTCTGATTTTGTTTTTGTTTCTGACTGACAGGTGCAAAGACGCTAAGTTTTGATTTGTTAGATTGTCGTTTTCTTCAGTGTCTCTCTACATTTGTAGTTATCTGCCTGCTCATTCTAAGAAAATAGTCAGTTATCTAAAAGATGTATAACTTGATTTAGGGAGAGCAGTTTCCAAAGGCAGAAGCATGGAACAACACTATGTGTAAAAGTTTCCTAGGTTCAGGGTGGGAATAGTTGTGAGGTTTTGGGGTGGAAATGTTTTTTTTCTCAGCCTGTTTTATTATGTTCCTTTTTTATATTAGTAGTATTCATCTGGTGAATTTACATATTTAAGTGAAGTTCTGCATATAATAAGATTAGTGTCTTTAGCACAGCTGTAATAATTTTGACGAACAATAAGTGGGGAAGTGAAAATCCTCAGACAAAAGTTTCTTTTTGTCATGAATTGTTGCTCTCCATTCTTCATTTAAGAGAGAGAGTGTGTGTCTCTGTGTGAGAGAGAATGATTTGTGTCTGAAGGTTAGAAGAGGCTGACTGTGCTGGAACTGACTGCAGTGCCTTTTTGATTATTCATGGACAGTAATAGAAGGCACTTAAAAAGAACAATGAAATTGCTTATTTTTTTGTGATGGGCCATCTGTTGAATTGTTTTGTGTAACAATCGCACAATAGTATCTATGTCATATCGTTCTATTTTCAACAGCAGCTGATGATGTATACTTGGCCACTTGTCCTATTTTCTAAAAGTCCCATGACCATTTAAAGTCACCTTTAAAGTGAACCTTTCCTAGAAAGGTAATAGAAATGTAGAGCAGCTGGTGTGTATTTTCTTTCCTGGTCTTCTGGCAGGTCTGTGTTTCAAACTAACACGCTTTTTAAATCTTAAATCTCAACTGGAGTTTTAGAATGGAAGTTAACCAGAATTGTTCAGCAATCTGGAATAAAGACTTGTTTTGAGAAAAGATTGCTACATACTCCCTGCTTATTATTTCCCGTCCCACCCACATTTTTTCTTCAAGTGGCAACATAGAATCTTTTGCCTTTGAACCAACAAACCTCTCTTCTGACTAACAAGACAAAAAAAAAACAAAAAACCTCAAAGCAAATTGGATGCAGCTTTGTCAATTGTACAAGTCAAGATTTGCTTTTGACAATAATAGTATTGTCTTCTTCAGGTCACAGATATCGCTGATGCTATGATTCTCAAACAGCTTTTTGAAAACCTGTTCCAAAACGGTGTCATCGTTGTAGCCACATCAAACAGGCCACCAGAAGGTAATAATGAATAATATGCTGATCCTGGCTTTTTCAATGAAAGTACAGTTAAAATATCTTAAATTGACTATACGTTGATCTCTTTCTGGTTAACATCCGTCTCTTTTACCAGGTTCATACTTTTAGGTGTTATGTTAAGATCTAACTCTATGTCATACATTAAATTCTTTCTTGGTTTCTATTAAAAGTCATAAAAATAAATGATATTAACGTGCATTGAGTGGGATCTAAAGTAGAAAGAACTGCACTCTCAGAAAGACATTTTCTGTTAGCATAGTTCTCTTTTTCTGAATGAAAGTCTCTTCAATTCCTGGAGTAATCAAAAGTAGATTCAAGTACTCTTTCCTTAAAGCGTTCAAGAACCAATTGTCCTTTGAAACAAAAAGGTAAGAAATAGAAGTAGCAGGGCAGAGTAGTTAGAGCAGGGGTCACCATTCTTTTGGACCCCAGGGACCACCAAACTCATAATTTTAAATCCTGGGGATCAGTAATATGAATTTTGATCTAATCTAACCTCTCTCCCTCCCTCCCCCCACCTCTCTCTTTCTTTCTCTCTCTCACACACACCCAAACACACAGAGGCAGGGGTGGGATTCAAACATCTTAACAACAGGGTCTGTGGGTGTGGTCTAATTTGTGGGTGTGGCTTGGTGGTCATGTGACTGGCTGGGCATGGCTTGTATGTAAATATTATAAATATTTATATAAATATTGAATTTTTATTAAAAAAAAGAGCAACTTTTACCCCAAATCAGGCAAAGCAGGCAGGCAGATTGAGTTGCTCACAGAATCACAGATTCACTTAGATCTGTGTTTCTGCGATCGGCTAGCTGAGTCTGCAACTGAATAATAGAACCTTTAGTCCCAAGGAGGTTCGGCTCTGCTTAAAAACAGAGCCGAAGATCTAAAGATTAGCTAGAAAACAAGAAATCCAACAATTTCCTACTTTCTAGCTAATCTAAATCTCCCAGCACAGCAGAACAGCTGATGGTCGGAAAAAGGAAAAATAGCAACTTAGCAGGCAAGTTTGCCAGGCAAGGAGTGATTGGGCAGGGAGGGAGGGCCATGTGGGCAGCGCAGTCTTGTGTTCCTGTGCAGCTTGGATTAAATGCTTTGGGGGGTGCTCTGGGGGTGACCTTTCTCTGCAGACCACCAAAATTTTCTCGTGGACCACCAGTGGGCCGTGGACCACCGGTTGGCGACCGTTGACTTAGAGGAAGAACAACAGAGTTAACAGTACATAGCTTCTCCCTGTACAAAGGGGAAGGAAAGCGTGTATTGCCCGTAACTCCTTAAAAGACATATAATTAATATAAAATAGGAAAAAGTAAATTATGCTAGGAAAATAGCACAGCGAATGCAAAGTATTATAGAATATTTAACCTGAAGTCAATAATATTCTAAAGTTAAGTACACAGAAAGACACAAAATGTGCGGGTATTTATATATTTAGATATGTTTTGTAAGTTGCCTCTAATCTCAGCTATAAGCTGCTTGGGCCATTCACAATAATAGCCAGTGAGAATGCAAGAGGAAATAATAACAGAATCCATTAACCACTTAAGCATCTTGCATTTTTCTCATTCAAGATTATGCTTTCAACAGTCTATTCCACTTCAGCTCATGGAAGGTTATACCATAATATATTGTTTAGTATTTAAGGCAATGTAAAGCTATCATCTGAAAGTAGTGTCCTGTTTGCTGATGGCTAGAATGGGATGGGAACCAGTATCCTTTGAAATATTATTACAATACAATTCGCAGCATACAGATAATTGAACTACTCATTCAACTACAGTTTGAAGTTATAACGGTGCTGAAGGAGTGGTGGTTGTGACCAGTCCTCAAAGTTCCAGCCATCCCAGAATCCCTCCAGTCATGTGACTGCAAGTTGGAAGCTTGGCAGTCAGCTGACACGATGGTTTCAGCATCCACATGATCACATTTGTGACTTCCCTGTCAATTTCCCGCAAGCAAAGTCAGTGATTCCCACAACCCTGGGGATCTCATGCCTTGTAGGATGTGTCGGCCTGCACTGTCATGCAAGAGTGGCTGGTCTGTTATGCTTATGTAGTGCTGCAGCACCCACCTGTGCCCTCTCCTTCACCTGGAAGTAGCCATCTCTGTGCTCACGCTGCACTGACCATCTGCACACCATCCCATGCCTGGTAACAATGACACCACCCCACACACCCAACCTAGCCATGCCTGTACTATGGCCTGCACTTAGCTGCCTGCTAATCGTCTTGAAAGCCACCCTGGAATTGCGACTTCTGCTAGCTTTCCCATTGATTTTTCTCATTGGAAGCCAGCATGAAGTTGTGAGGAGGGCCTCCCTTAACAATTATGATCCTTGCTTAACGATGACAATGGAGAGTACTAGGATTGCTTTCGCTAAGGGATGTAGTTACGTGATGTCACACTTTACAATTGCATCACTTGGTGGAAATTCTGGCCCCAGTTACCATTGTTAAGTGAGAACCACCTGTACCTCAGTTTTGAGCTTGCTGATTCGGGTTGTTGGAAACTGAAGGGCTTGCCACTGAACTAGAGCTAAGCCAACTACTAGTGCTAAATATATTCGTAAGTTAACAGCTGCTACGCATCACTGGTTGGAATGAAATCCCTGCTGGCCAAACAGGTTTTATGTAGTATGTTATTCTGCTTGATTCTTTTTAGCCTATACAGTTTTACTATCTTCATTAGATCTATTTCAAAATCTTAGAAATATTTGTATTTATATTTTATGTTTCAAATTTATATGCCATTCTTAAAAGCATAGTTTAGTAATTCAGTCGTCAAAAATAAAATGGTGTGTTATCTTCATCAAACTGAATTAGAACTTGTGTGTAATTATACACATTAAATTGTGTTTTGAACATAAACAAGAATCATAATAGTTGCTGAAGAATTGGCATGCAGTAATGTGACCCTAGTGCTTCATTTCTGCCAAGTGGCAATGCTGCTCTTTTCTGTTTATATATGCTACTAAAACTCGTACGTGAAACTGTGCATCACCCGGCAAAACTTTTTCAACCCAGATACCTCAAACGGACTTGCTTACAGAGTGTGTTCAAAATCTGGAGACCTGTGACTCCTGTGGAATTGAAATTTCATAAATTAAAAAGACATTTTATAACATAAAATTACCATTAAGCATTTTATGACACAATACAAAAGTCATAAAACATTTCCTGTAGTCAACTCCTGATGTTTGACTGTGCTCTACAGTTCATCATGTCTACTTTCAAGGCAGACTCATCTTGGAAATATCTCCTTGAATTTTGAAGAATTTTTCCAGTACATTAGCAGCTCTGTCATTGTGGAAGGCATTGAGGAATCTGGTGTCTCTGAAACTGATGACCCAAATGGGTCATAGGTTATCTAATACAGCTAAACCTGTTACACTCTAATGAATGCAGCCCTAGAATACATATTCATAAGTTTTGGTCTTGATTTATGAGGGCATAAATCCAAAACCTGTAGAAAGGCTCAGTTTTTTTTAAAAAAATTATGTATTTATTTGTATCTTATTTTTATTAGTTTTACAAATAACTTTTAGCCAAATGATGATAGTGAAGAGTATCAAAGAATACTCTCTCAAACCAGAAGATGCAAGACATAGAAATGGAGTCAGGAAACCCCTGAAAATTGCAAACTTGAGTGAGAAGCAACTGTGACTTCAAGAGTTTCCTTGCCTGACATTATTATTCTTTCCTAGCACTCATTATTATTTCTGTCTTCCCCCAAGTCATGTTTATAATGGATTGATATTAGAAAAGCATTAGAATTGCATGCTTGATGTCAAAAACGCAAAAGAGATATAAGAATCCTCCAAATTCCTTAATTATTTTTCTTGGGATCACATAAGGTTACTAATAAATTAAAATTGTGTTCAGTATCAATATATTTATAGCGCTGGATAGTGAACTGTTGAAACCACCGTCTTTTCCAACTACTTGTGATCTGTATTTAGAATTGGATTATAAAATATCCTTTCATATGTTATGTTGCCCTGTAAAGGAATAGATTATAAGCAAAAAGTTGAGGGTCTAATCTGCCTACAGCTGTTCCTGGTATCTAAAGCTTTTATATAGATATAGCCTGTCCCAAATAATGTACCAAATCTGGTAGGTGGTGTTATCTGGATTCTTAATTGATTCAAATTTAGGATATATTCCTAAGATTTGGTTTCTGTTCCAGAAGTCAACATGGCTATCAAATCCCTAAGAATACAGGTTGTCCTTGATTTAAGACTGGTGGCTTAGTGACTATTCAGAGTTACGATGGACCTCCCTGGGGATACTTATGACCCAGTTCCGAAGTTCCAATAGTAGTCCCTCCCAGTCACATGACTGCATGTTGGATGCTCAGCAGTCAGCCCATGTTTAATGGTCATTTGCAGCATCCCATGATCACGTGATCGCAATTCACAACAGTTGTGCTGAAAATCAGCATTTATTTCCAGTTTTAAGCAAAATGCTCATAATGAACAATGGGTTGACTTTCTGATCACAGTGTTTGCTTAACGGCAATCACAAAAAAGGTCATGAAATCAGGTTGGTGAGGTGGGTGAACCACTTTATAATAATCATGCCTAATGACCATGATGGGTAGACTCCATTCCAGTCATAAGTAGAGGACTACCTGTAGTAAGTAGCTATGTAATTTCCCTTTTTCATTCTTTTGATTTTTATTGGCCAGTTTGAATTACTTGTATTTTGCTGTGGGATTGCAGATAAGACCTACAAAGTTTATTTTATATTTTACTAGCCGATAACCCAATGTTGCCTGGGTATTTATTTATCCCAATAAATAAGACAGGAAAATCCTGTAGTCGGGACTCACACTTTGTATGGTCTCTTGCCCAGTGTTGCAAGTCTTCTATTCCTCTCCTTAGGAGTTTGTTGTCTATGCAGGTGTTTCATTTTTTTTTATTGCACTTGGCCAATCGCCTGACGTTTCCTTGGAGGGCTGAGAGGGCGCCCCCTTGTGGAGTACTGTGAAGCCGTTACCATAGCAAGTCCACTGTGCTGTACAGTAGAAGTCATTTTAAGGCACACACACACCCCAGGGGTGCTGGGGGGGGGGGTCTTACCCCCACAGTATTTGTTTCCAGAGGGTAAGTTATCTGTGTACCAAGTTTGGTTGAAATTGCTCAAGGCATTCCAGAGTTATGCTGGAACACACACACACACACACACACACACACACACACACACATTTTTATATAGATAGATAGATTATTACCCATTCCAATATAGTTTGGAATGTTTGGTTGGAGGACACAACCACGTTTAAATACACCAAGAATTGCTTGGTTGTAAAAGTTAATTTATATATCCTGTGTGTGGATGCTGGCTGCATCTGTAATAGCAGCCTGGTAGTTTTATCTCTACCCAAGGCATAAGTGGAGACAGATGCCTTGGATGGAGACAAAACTACCAGACTTACTTTCTGAATGCCAAAGATTATGCTATTACAATGCTGCATGCCATTTTAATTATTTAATTTTTGTAGCATTTTTGCAAAGAAAACGCTACAAAATAAGGCAATGATAACAATGTACAGTAAATACAATTGCATTTTCTGTTTTTTTAAAGAAAATTTGTTGCTATGTACTTTGTGGAAATAATAACTTTAATTTTCTTGTATGTTACAGTATCTCCCTATCAATCTCTGATACGTTTATAATATTAGCAATTGTGTTGAAGTTGATATAATGCTTCTGCTATCAATTATATCATTTTTAGTTTGGAGTGAAATTAACAATGTTTTTTTTTTCTTTTTGGTCCTTGAACATAAGCAATATAATAATAGAGAATTTTCGGAAAAGAACGCAGCAAAGATAACACAATATGTTTTCTTTCAGATCTCTATAAAAATGGGCTCCAGAGAGTTAACTTTGTGCCATTCATTGCTATACTAAAGGTAAAAAATATATTTTTAAAAAACTATTTTTAAAAAAGTTACTAAACATTAGGAAAGATATGTAAGCAAGCATGAAAAATCCAGAAGAAGGGATGGCAATAAAATATAGATGAATAAACGAAGAGCTATAATAGAGATAAAATTTTCAAGTATAACATTACCAGTAAATAACTGAATGCATTATATCACTTTAGCAGAGTAAAAATCACTATCAAACTCTAAACCAAAAATGAATATCAAGAATTGTGGTCAACACAGTGTGAATCATACTGCAATCTATTTTACTAAATATCTGTTCTATTTTTGATGTCTTGTGAAACCAAAATGTAAATTCTATACATTGAGAAACCCACATTTCTTGATGTGGTATAAATCTGTGAATTACTTTTAAAAGGGGGCATTAATTTAGACATCAATGTGTATTTCCATAACTTAGTAAGCCATTCTTCCTTTGATGGGATCAGATGATCTTTCTGGTAAAAAATAATATGAAGCATTTATTTTTGTTAACATGGCTTTGTTTTTGCTTTCTTATTTTTTTTTTTGTTGGAGAACTAACTTTTAAAAAATTACTATAGTGAATATGGCTCCCCAAATTCCTATTTTCTTATTATATGCAAAAGAAGCAAGGGAGAAAGAATTTAGATAACTGTGCGGTTGGTTTGATGCATGACTAGATTTTGGCTTCCCAAATTTCATTGACTACTTCTGTGTTTAAAATACTACCAGGAATGAGAAGGGGGAACTTACAGCAGAACAGGTACAGATGGTCCTTAACTTACAACCATTCATTTTAGTGAGCATTATGACCATTGCAGCATCCCCATGGTCAGTGTGATCAAAATCTGGAAGCTTGGCAACTGGCATGTATTTATGACTGTTGCAGTGTCCTGGTGTCATGTGATCACCTTTTGTGATCTTCTGACAAGCAAAGCCAATGGGGAAGCTAGATTCAGTTAAAAATCATGTTACCAACATAACAACCGCAGTGATTGATTTAACACCAATGTTAAGAAAAGTAAAATGGGACAAAACTCACTTAACAATGGAAATGTTGGGCTCAGTTGTGGTCCCAAGTCAAGAACTACCTATGTTCAGTTCCAATTCATTTAAACGAGGCCTCATAAAAATTCAATGTAAACTCAACAGGGTCTCACACAGGTTTAAGAGACCTAGCATTAGATTCTTTTGTTACTGATTGCTGATAACCTACTATAATAATCTAGTATTTCAGTACAATCTGGGAAAACTGTTTTTTTTTTTCCACCTCGGATATTCAGCAATGTGCCTCTAAAATATGTAGATATCTATCAATGTGTTTTTGTAGATTTTCACAGGTACAGGTATGCAGGTCTTGGCATGTTCAGGTCTTTTACACGGGAAAAGACCCGAACACACGCCAAGACCTGCACATCTATGTATGTATGTATATGTGTACAATGATTTTGATCAATACAAAAATATCAGTAAATACTATTATATAGGAGATGGTATTGCATTTATATATTTAAATCTTTTCTTTGAAAATTATTGAGATTTTAAAATGCTTTATTTGGTTGAATCGTCTCCGTATAAAGTAAAGCAATTAAAGGGATAATATTTTTAGTAAGTGCTTCCTACAGTTGAAGTAATCAGCAGCACATGATTTCTATGGATGATATAAATTCATGAAATTGTGTAGAAGATGCTAAAGTCTGCAACCACTTTTATATTAACTGAAATCAGTGGGGCATCTTTTTTCTGAGTTAGCATATTATGTCAGTTGTCATCTTTCAATTGTGGGACCCAAATAAACCATCTGTGTGTGGGGGTTTCTTTAAATTTTATGTTTTGTGGTCTGTATAATGACCTAATTTCACTTGAGCTCTGGCTATCCTTGAACTTCTCCTTCATCTCTTATTATCGTTTAAGTAGTAGCAATGCAGTTGCGTATTTCCCTGGAAATCAGTTGTGTTTCATTTTATGAAATTTGTCTTTGAATATATTTTAGATTAGGTTATTGGCTTTACAACAGCGCTGGCTTTATCCCTACTAAATTATTATTTTTGACGGTCTGAAACTTGTCAGGGATAATAAGGTATATTTAACTACCATTCTGTTGAGTCAAGAATGGTTCTCTCTATAGCAGGATGGCAAATTCTGAGCCATTTGAGGGCAAAATCGCATCTTTTAGCCCCAGTGAGAAAATATAAAATGTTTCTGATTGTGTGTTCTGCCTTTGTCGGGCCACCTGTGTAAGGCTGAACAAATTTGTTTCTTCTCATTTCTTTAAAAAAGTCATTCTGGTGATTAAACTGATTTGTCAGTTAATTCTGTTCTAAGGCGGCGATAGCCTAGTAGCTTTCAGTACACTGAATAGTCTAAAGTTGCTTTTGTGGTCAGTGTCAGCATCCTGACCTCTGCTAAGCTGTCACCTGAGTCAGAATTCCTGGGATTAAGTCTTTGATATTGTGATGTCTTCACTTATCTATTGACTTTTTCAGTGCTGAAGATGTTAGGCCTTTTGATTTCTTTCTTAGTGAGAAGCCAAGCAAGTCTTCAATAGAAGTCTTTCTTTCCCAAGCTTTGGCAGTTGTAAACTCTGTCTTTCTCTTTTCTCTGTATTAATTAAATGGATTACTTTTGGGATATACAATGCAGTTCCGTTGTTGGGAATCACTGGGCTTAATATAATAATAAAAAAGAGGCTCTGTGTGTCTATACACATGCAGGCATACACACTCACGAACGCAATAAAATGTTAGAATAGGTTTTGACTTAGATCCAAGTTAAACTACATAGCCCTGTTCTGCGACTGCTTTTAACGTGATCTCATCTTAAGCATTTTGTCCGAAAGCATCTATGCTTTAGCCTACAAAATTAGAACTCCAGACTTTCGTTTGCTCCTCTAAAAGGTTTCCTTCCTATAGAATGGGAATCAAGAGCACACTGAATGCATTTATTCATTTTGTCTCTTCTAGAACCACAACACAAATTAAATATTCAAGAACCAGGCAACAGTTTTTAAAACATTTGGACTCAATGCAGTCATTTTGAAACTATAGAAAAGTAAATTGCGTCTGTATGTAAGGGTGTATGTAAGTGCCAATTATTTTTCCCCGGGCCATTGTTTGGCCGTTCTTCATTTTTCAAAACAAATTATCACCTAATGTTAAAATAATTGCGGCAAACTCTTAACATTCTCTTCCCTTTTTATTTTAATATTAATGACTCCTTTAATCCTGCTTCGGCAAATTAACTCTTTGGTTCAAACAAGTTACGCACATTTTGGAACAGCTACCTAATAAGTGTTTTTCTTCAGGTATTGGGATGTGTTTGCTTAATTAGCATATGGCACTTTTCTTTGCTTGCAATTCAGTGTGAAATAAAGCTGAGCCCCATCTTTCTGTGTAGCCCATTCCCCAAAGTCTCAGCCAGTTAATAAAGTTTGTAAGGGCTTTATCACAGGCTCCAGGAAGGTCCACAGAGAAGAACATTAATCCAATAAACATTTCATTGAGCTCATGAAAAGAAAGCATCAGGAGAAGAGAAGCTCCTGAAGAAGAAAAGCATATCATTGACCATTTTCTTCATGCAGAATTGTTAGAAATTTGCCAGATTAAGAAAAAGAGTGTTCAAATTTAGCAGCTAAATTGTGTTAAGAATAATGGGAATAGTTTGAACCTTACATGGTGAATATTCAAAAAAGCCACAACTGTTTTCTTCAAAGACTTACTGTGGAGCTGGATGGACAGGGCAAGAGGAGGTTGTGAGAAACCCAAATAGCAAATAACAGTGGTTGAAAGTTGAGGGAGGAGGGGAGGAATAGATAATTAGGTATAATTAGTGTGTATGAATTGTTGTCTCCCTGCCCTTGGCTTGAATAAATTTGGAAGGAACAAATCCAAGTGGCAAAACTGCTTTGATGTAAGAGGAGTCATTGTGGCTTGGCAGCATAAAGGCAGTGTTTTATACTTCTTTCATAATGGTTGTGATACAGAAAGGCTGAATGCACTGTGCACCCCCCAACACCCCTCCCCTGTCAGTCTGCTTTACAGCAAGGACTTTTGGATTCCCTTGAAACAAAATGCAGCAGAAGTTTTCAGTTGTGGGTAATGAGGTACTGGACCTCATCAGAGTTAGGCATAAGCCATCCTTAGCCTTTGGCTTAGATCTTAATCACTTTTGTATTGTGGGAAAGCTAGTTTCCAAAATCAACACGTCTTTCTTCATTTTTTTTCCACCCTTCCTGTTTGAATCTTTAGCAAAAGGAAAGACCAATGCAGAAAAGTGCAAGTCCGAGTTTAAAGAGTGGGAATCTAGTGAGAATATTTCGTTCTAAGTAGAAGTACATCAGAATAGTGTATTTACATACTTGTATCAGTCAAATCTTTTAATATCTGACAGTTTTATTCTAACATATGCTATTGACCATATTCGCTTCTACTTATTTGAATAATGTTAAGAAATCCGAAAATAGATTTCTATATGCTCCTTGTGTGAAAAATGTGAATACTTTTATGGATAATTCAAAATATCCCATCAAAGATCAAGATTTGATTTACATGTTGTACCTGAACCAAAAAACGTCCCAAGAAATCTTGAAGTACCTTATAGTTGCAATTTTTTTTTTTACATTGCAAATTTTACAATCTTTGTTAATATATTAATTGCTATTAATATATGATTCTATGTAGGAACAATCAGCAAAATATCCAATTAGAATTAGAAACTAATTCAGAAGCTAAATGTATTCAGCTGAGATTCCAGAGAACAATACTGTTTTGGAAAAGAAACCTTTTTCATTCTGTACAGATCTGTATTATTTTAATATATAAGGAATAAATCAATCGAACTATTAAACAATAGTTCAAGCAATTTGAAAACTTTTTGCAAATATCAAGAAATGCTAATATGATTTAATTAGCCCATGGAGGACTCATTATTTTTCATTTTGTCATCAAACTCCGCTACTTAGCAAACAGAACCATCAGTTTGCTTTCTATCTTTCTTTGCTCAAAGATTTAATCCAATTTGGTTGTCTTTTTAGATTTCTGGTGTTCAAAAATATAGAACTAAACCGTTACATTAAGGAATGCCATGAGCTTGCTATGCTTTAGAGTTGTTGTTATTAGGAAAAGGAAACGAGTGTTTCATTTAACCCTTTGAGGGCTTATTATATAGAACAAGTAGCCTTTTGTACTTGAAGTTGTACACTCTGAAAAAAGCAACACCTGAATATCTCTGAAGCTTGGATAATTATGCCCAATTGTGTTTTTGCTGGTATAGGTCACAGGAAATTCACTTGGGGTAGAGTCTCTACAAAGCTAAGATATATGCAGATTTTCTGTTGTTGGATTGTGTAAAAATTATTTACTGTTAATACTTGCATAAAGGTTAGAAAGGTTGATGAAGTGATATTTAGTATTGCTTTACTATTCACTGTGTGTCAGGATGTAATTATGACTGATTCATGGAACTGTCTTCGGAACGAACCATCTTTATTAAAATGCTGATCAAGATAAGAGCTGACAGTAATAAAGAATAGAACATTTTAGTCTTGTTGCTTTTCAGTGATTGCTAATTACCCCAGAGGTCATGTATAGTGCCTGGGAGGATTCATTGACATTATTTTCTTTTAAGTCTGCTGTTTGAACAACATCAGAACATGAAGACAAAGACTAAGTGCACATTGAACAATAGTTTGACCAAGTTTTTTATTTCACAAAATGCTGGATGATTCGTCTTTTTCTGGGTTGTTTTTTTTTTTTGTTTTGTTATAGAGATGTACGTTCTCCTGAGAAGGGAAAAATCTTTATTTTAAAGAACTTTTACCTTAATTATATCCATCACAGTCATCACAAGGTCAAATGCATGAGGAGGAAACAATATATTGCTACTCTCCGATAGTTTGCCATGAGCAAAGCATAACACAATCTTTTTCCTGTGACTTTGGTTATCACATAAATCAGAATCTTTGGTCTTTTGATCGGATTAAAAGATGCATTTTACCTACTACATTCAGGCTGAGCTTTTGCACAGCGTATGCTATGTGTAGAATTGAAGTATGTGACCACCAGCTATATTTTAAGTCCAAAAGAAAGAGAAGAAAGATTCTCAGGAGTTAGATTAATTGGTAAAAGATATGAAAGGTGGGCAATGAGGCAAACAGTGGGTTAGATTAACTAGCACAAAACATGAAGGGAAATGGAAGGAATCAACTGGATCCAGAGTCTTATTGCACTGTGGAAATCATCCCACTTAATCATTTACTCAGAATGTACTACTTAGTGAAAGAGAGGGAGAAACAGTATTTGCAAGTCCTACTTCCTTCAGCAGTCTTCCATCCCAAAGCTTACATGACTTAAAACAATTCTAGTGGTAGAAGAAACCTTTTTCTTTGCAATAGAATTTTGTTTGACTTTATTCAATTTGTTTGGTCAGAAATACTTAAAACTCAGGAAGTATAATAGGATGTGGTTTTAATCAGCTTACTTGTTGTTTTTATGCAATAAGCCATATTCAAGACAATATTCAAGGCAATACATAATGTCAGAACAGAAAATTAATGGATTTTTCTCTACCCCAAACTACACTAAGAATCTGGGAATGGTTGGTTATCGGAGGAAAATTTATCTCTTGACAATCACTAACTTTTAGTTACTTATCAGTCAAACAACAACCATAAAGATACTTTTTTTCAGGATTTACCCTGTTCCAAAAATCTTAGCTGCTGAAGCAAAAAATGTGTTATCTCTGAGCTCTGCATATAATTCGGTCATCAAGCTGATCCTTTATAGGGCCTATGGAATCTTTTCTAAAATCATATAAAAATAATTGAGCTCAAGATAGTTTCCAAGAACAGAATCTTATCACTAGAGCTACAACAGTGAATCTTGGGAATTTGAACAAGAATTTCTTAATTATTAGCCATTTATAATATAAAAATCAAATGCATTTGAAATTTAATAGCTATTTAATAGCTATAATCACAATTGAGCATCATGCCTTTTCTAATGCTTTTACTGCGTTAGAAGGTTACCTACCAAAATTTCTGGAACCAATGTCTTGCTCTCTTTTAAGATTCAGGTAGTTATTTACATTTGCTGCTATATATTTTCATCCATTTTAATCTACAGTGTTTGTATATTATACAAATTATAATCAAAGGAATTTTGTCAACTCCTCAATGGAAATAGTTTTTCCTACAGTAGAGACAAGGAAGAGGATGTGCCATCATACGAACGAATGCCCATCTACATCAATAGGATTCATGCATTGCCATTTCTTTAGATTAGCTCCCAAAATGCTGTTTTCCCAACCAGAACCAAAACTATACTTGTTGCCTTACAGGGTAGTAAATTCAGTAAATTTTATTTATTCCCATGGCATTTAATTCCAGTGTTTCCCATATATTCTGAACCTTCTTGATGTGTTAATCTGCATCTAAGTTCAAGTTAACGTTGCCCATAATCAGAGGTTAAAGGAACTCTAGGCAGCCTAAAATATCATAGAGGACTAGGTTCTCTTTCCTTATCCTTTGATGAAGTTTGATGAATCTGATTTATGCACTGCAAGATATAAATTAAATTCTTATTTTGTTTATTGCATTATCTATACTTTCCGTTATTATTAAAAATCCAGCATCACTGACAACCAGGTTTTCTAGTCTTCTTTGGAGGGTCTTTGAAAAACTGTAAAAACACGATTGATTTTCTCTTGAAGATGTACTACTGCTGTGCTAGCACTGTTGTTGTGTGTTGGTTCACTTCTGGAAAATTTGACTCTGCCTATTGACCTAGGGAATATTTATCACAATCGAGAGCAGGGGTGTCAAACTTGCAGCCCACAGGCCGGATGCGTCACACACTGGCCACGCCCACCCATTTTAGCAAAGGGGGGGGAAAGTCACAATACATCACAATGTGATCGCTGCAAGTTTGACACCCCTGACCTAGAGGCTAGCAATAACAAGTCTATTCATTGTAATTATGGAAGGAATGCTATCCTTCAAGAGAAGATCAAAAATCTTTCCCTTGATGAATCAAGACACAATCCACAGCACGGCTAAATCTGATATATTGCAACATAAAGGAAAACCTTTCTGTTGATATATTTAACATATTTAAAATAAGTAGTCCGTTGAAAGCCACTGCTATTTGATGGAGAAAAAAATTCATTCAATAGCAATATTAGCAATATTAACTTAAAACACCGCTATGTTTGTTACTCATATAATATTATTTCTACCTTTTTAAGCTGAAGGGAAAGCTTTATAAATAGGTTTTGTCTTTCAAAAGAAAAGACAAAACAATTTTTGGGGTATGCTTGGTGCGTGTGACAGAACTTTTTTAAACATCCTAATTAAATTTTAGAATATGATTGACATATTCTAAATATGTCATACTATGCCATGTAGAAGTAATAAGACAACACCCAATAATTTGAATAGCTGAATAATTCATAGACTTGAGGCTAAATGAGGCAAGAAGTTACAGTACATATATGTGAAAGTGGAATTGTTTCTTTGGCCACTCACTACATACAAGTTCTGCCATTTGGCTATGCTACCAATTCAGAGGGAACAAGAAAGAGGAGGCTTTTAACACTATTAGATAACATACAGTCATATCAAGATTTTTAATGTAAACCAACTGTATTAGGATTGTAGCTTTGAAAATTAAAGACAAAAAATACAAAGACTCCCGTTAAAAGTTCTTTAGCTGCTGATTAGGGATCCCTAATGGTGATTAGTGAGTATGGAATGCAATCATGCCTGTAGGCTTTAATCAGTCCTATGATAGAGAAGTCAGTTACCCAAAGAGAGACCCAATTAATACATGCGTTGTTTCTGTTGGATGTATTATTTTTAAAAGTTAAAAAAGGAACAGATGGCAGGAAGATACGCAGCAAAGCACAAATCGGGGCATGGGTTGAAACTTTGAGGAAAATATCAGCTTTTTATTTAGAAAATAATGTTTGATATCGCACTTATTTTATTGTTTTGGTAATCAGCGTAGAGCCCCAGTGTCAGCTGTTATTTTAAAAAGCATAAGAATTCCATATATGCTTTTGTGAGCAAGTTTCTGATATGCAAGTTTTATTTATACAGGTTGTTTGCCTTAAATGCACTTTTTTGGGTGGGGCAGTACTAATGTTATGTAAGTGCTAATTTTTGTGCACAGTTTTGCTGTTGTTGGGAGTACAACAAACACAAAGTTACATCTGCAGCATCTGATTATAAGAAGTAATGTCATCTTTCTTTTGTTTCTCTGCTCAGAAATACTGCAACACCATCCAACTGGATTCTGGAATAGACTACAGGAAGCGTGCAGTGCCGGCTGCAGGAAAGCTTTACTACCTGTAGGTAGAAACTAAGACTGGCTCTGTGCATTTTATTACAGTCATAGCAACTTTTAAATGGGGAGGAAAACGGAACCAAGTCGGTCCCATAGTCAATGGCTATGACATTGTTCATACCATCAGATAATATTTCCAGTATCTCCAGTAACGTCTTTTTCAAATCTGTGACTGAATTAAGACTAAATAGAAGGGAGGTGGGAGGTGTGGTGCTTGCAGAATGGAAGTGACAGATGGTTATAAAGCAATGAATATCCTCTTGCAAAGAGTGTTCAATTCCCTGGTAAATAAACAAGCATCCTTATTGTAGTAAAATAATTATTTATACAAATAGGGGCTCATTTACTATTTGGTGTGAACATTTGGGGATTCAAAACTTGGTCTTATTTTGACAGAGGATCTGCTTGTATCTAGGATGTTGATTGACTTCAGAATTCTGTATATCTGATAATGATAAAAATGAAGCTATAATAGAACTATCAGTACAATTTATCTGCATAGCTCTGATTTCTTCTTTCCCTAATGATAGTTTACTCTCAGAGCAATTTGTGAATACAGGTATATGTGACATAAAGTTGTTCCAACATCTGAAACAAAAAGTGGTTTTAATCAAGCCAACAGAAAAATAAATCTTCTTCTGACTTTTAGTATGGTATTGTTTTATACGACTTTAAGGATTTAAAAATTTTGTTCTCCACTAGCAAAAAGAGCAGTCCTAATCCAACTCTGTATTCTTTCCTTTGGACTATCTATACTACTATTTAAATAACCTACAAATATGTATTTTTGGTGAGCAATAAATAAGTACCTTTAATACAGGTAGCCCTCAATGATTATTGTTGAGTCCAAAATTATTGTTGCTAAGCGAGACAATTGCTAAGTGAGTTTTGCCCCATTTACAACTTTTCTTGCCATAGTTATTCAGTGAATCACTGCAGTTGTTAAGTTAATAAAATGGCTGTTACGTGAATCTGGTTTACCCATTGATTTTGCTTGTCAGAAGGTTGCAAAAGTGACACATGAGCCCAGGACATGGCAATCATCATAAATATGCGTCAGTTGCCAAGCATCTGAATTTTGATCACATGACCAATGGTTGCAATGGTAATAAGTGTGAAAAATAGTCATAAGTCACTTTTTTCAGTGCCGTTGTAACTTCGAACAGTCGCTAAACGTTGTAAGTTGAAGATTGCCTGTATTATCATAGATTTTATTCAATAGATTTCCCATAGCAGATTTTTGGAAGGAGGCATTCTAAGATGTAGTGCAGTGGTTCTCAAACCTTTTCAGTCCACTGCCCCCTTGGTGCTACAAACTCATCCTCAGTGCCCCCCACCCAGGGGTGGGATTCAAATTTCTTAACAACTGGTTCTGTGGGCGTGGCCTAATTTGTGGGTGCGGCTTGGTGGTCATGTGACTGGCTGGGCGTGGCTTGGTGGTCACGTGACTGGGTGGGTGTGGTTTGGTGGTCATGTGACTGGGTGGTCATGGCCAGGTGGTTTGCTGGTCATGTGACTGGCAAACCAAATATAAGTGGTCCTTAATGGCTGGTTGCTTAGGAAGTGTTCTAATTTATGACTGACCTCCCCAGAGCTACTTGACCTGTTTTTGGAGTTTTGACAGCCATGCACAGGCAGGCGCGTGCGCGCGCGCACACACACACACACACTCCCTTCTAATCCTGCTGGAGTAGGTGGTTGGACTAGATATCTTCACTTTCTCCTCCCTTTCTTTCTTTCTTTCTTTCTTTCTTTCTTTTCTTTTCTTTTCTTTTCTTTTCTTTTCTTTTCTTTTCTTTCTTTCTGTCCCTTCCCTCCACCCCACCTTCTTTGTCTATCCCTTGCCTTCCTTTCTCTCTCCCTTTTTCTTTCCCTTTTCTCTTTCTTTTCTTTGTCTCTTCTCTCTCTCTTTCTCTCTTTCTTCCCCCTCTCTTTCTCTTTCTCTCTCTCCCTCCGTCCATATCCCATTCACTTTCTCCTCCCTCCCTCCCTCCCTCCCTCCCACTTTCTTTCTCTCTCTTTTTCTCTCTCTCTTTTCTCTTTCTCTCGTTTCCTCTCTCTATCTTTCTTTCTGTCCCTTCCTTCCATCCCCCCTCTTTCTTTGTCTATCCCTTTTCTTCCTTTCTTTTCCTTTCTCTCTCCCTTTTTCTTTCTTTACTTTCTTGTCTGTTCCTTCTCTTTCTCTCTTTCCCTCTCTTTCTCTCTCTCTTTCCCTCTCTCTCTTTTTTCTCTCTTTCCCCCTCTCTCTTTCTTTTCTCTCTCTCTCTTTCTCTCTTTCCCTCTCTCTCTATCCCTTCCTTAACCTATCTACCTATTTTCTGCCCAGGCAGGCGTGGCCTAATCTGTCAAAGGCCTGGGCTAATCCTGCATCACCCCATTTGCTCTTTCAGAGGCCCCGTCCCTTAATCTCCCCTTTTCTTTCCCCACAACCACCTCTTTCGTGATCCCATGGCCGTGACTTTACCTTCCTCCTGCGGCTGGCTGCCAGGGAAGGCAAGACAGGGATGAGCCATTATTGTTGCTGGGCCACGTCGCCCTTGTCACGAATGCCTGCAGCTGCCGCGTGTTTTTTTCGGTGCGGCTGGGTTGCAGCCACACCAAAAAAAACACGCGGCAACTGGAGGCTTTTTGCAGTGAAAATTACTAACCTCCGGCTTTGCTTGCTCCACTTCTCCAATACACTGCTGCAGCTGCATTCTAGGCGCCAGCCCCGCAGGTCCACCCCATTGAGCCCACTGCACTGGAGGGACTTGCCCAAGCAAGTCCGAGCAGAGTGGTGAAGCAGTCAGTGGGGTGAGCCTGCATGGCCAGCACCTAGAACACGGCGGCGGTGGTGCGTTGGACTCCAGCTGCACCGGAAAAAAACACGCGGCATCTAGATGCTTTTTGCAGTGAAAATTACCGACCTCTGGCTTTGCTTACTCCGCTCCTCCAACACGCTGCTGTGGCCGTCAGCGATTGTTGCACATGTGTGCGATCTCGTGCATGCGCAATAAGGACTGACTGGGCAGGGAACAGAGGAATGGGCGGAGAGGAGCAGGGCCAGCCAGGGGCCTGTTTTACCGGTTCTCCACAAACTATCGGGAATGGTAACGAACCGGTAGAATCCCACCCCTGAATTGCTCCCTGTGAGGGGCCCACCTCCAGCACTCGTCTGCCCCCTCCCTTGCCTCTTAGCACTCCCCTAAGACATCTCACTGCCCGCCAGGGGGCGGTACCGCCCACTTTGGAAACCACTGGTGTAGTATATATACTGTAGATACTTGGGAGAAAGAATCCATAGGCAAGAATGATAGGGTGCTAATATTTATGTAGCACTCTTAATAAACATATTTCTTATGTGTAATTTGTCCCAGAGATGTTGGGATTATCACCATCAGCCCAATACATCACAGTTGTCACCAAGCATAATTTGTGTGGGCATGAAAGGCTGCAATAGTAAGGAATCATGAAGGTGATGCTACCCTTAAGACCTGGGAACCAATGTGACATTGTGATGAAGATGTTGGATGAAGACAAGGGATATACACAGTCCAGTCTACACTCAACAGTAGAGGCCACTGGATGATTTGGACCATTCACTTTCTTTTTATACAGTCAATGTGATTAAGTTTTTGTTTTGGAGAAAAATTAAGGAGGGAACATCATATATATGCTGCATGAGCTAAATGCAAATCTAACTGAATAAATAAATAATTATGCCTCTCAGTATTGGTTATCAAGGAGTGGCCAAGATATTTTGCCATCTAAGGATGAAGAGAAAAGAAGAAAATTGTTCTTTTCTACCCTTTTCCAAGTAGCAATGTGAGGGAGTAAAGTTTAGGTAGGTAGGTAGATGTGTGTGTGCGTGTGTGTGTCAATTCTGCTTTTATAATTTTTTTAAATAACTCAAGGTGGCAAACATATCCAATATATTTTTCTCCTCCTATTTTCCCCACAACAACAACCCTGTGAGGTGGGTTGGGCTGAGAGAAAGTGACTGGCCCAAGGTTACCCAAGCTGGCTTTCAAGGCTAGGGTGGGACTATAATTTACTGTTTCTTGCTTTTTACCTGGGGCCTTAATTACTAGACCAAACTACCTGTGCTTTGGAAAAGCAGCTGCAGCCAGGAAGAAATGCTTCCTCCCCCTCCCCCCCAATAGTCTTGGATTGCACCACAGTCCTGGATCCCACCTCTGCCACCAGTTGTGAGGGTTATTTGTTCTCCAAGGATTGAACACACCACAGCATAGCAAATCATAGCTTGTGGTCTCGGCATTTGAATGGTTGTCCTCTTGCCTGTTTATAATAGTTGATAATAGCTGCCAATCTCCAGGTGTAGCTTCCGTTTCCCAGTCTGTATGCCATTTGCTATGACCTTTCCAGAGAGGTGGGAGGGGGGGAGGGAGAGAGAGAGAGAGAGATATTTTTTTCATTCTGTCTTAGCATTTGTTTGTATAAGCTCAAAAGACTGGGGGCGGGGGGGACCCTCGATATCAGCACATCCTCAAAAACTTCAGGCTGTGGCTGTGTCCAGTCTTTGGAGACCAAAGACCCCTCACAGACAGTTGAGGAAATAAAAATTTTGAATACTTCTCTACTTCCAGGAAGTAAAAATGCAATGATGTAATAGTATGTACATTGACATGGCAATTTATTGTCTTTTATCAAAAAGGCTATCCCAGTTCAGGACATGTGTCTAAGTTTGCATAATGGATGACGTTGAAACACAACTTCTAGTTCTACCAATGGATGTCCCAGAGGCATCTGATAGGAAATCTGTCTTGGAAATTTCAGCAGCTGCTGTTAACATTTTAAATTTTGAGCACCTTCTAAAATTTTAAGCAAAGTATTACATAACTTATTTTTTTAATTGGTAAAAAGAACTATAAATATTGGGTGACTTCTTATTAAAAGTAAAAAAGACTTCTTTTGATAGACTCCTTGAATATATCAACTAAATTATATTCAGAAGAGTTATAAATATTCTAAATTGTCCTAGAGTTATAATCTTGATTCTAGATGCCAGTAGCCAGCAGAAGAGAGATCGGTTTTACTCCAATCTGTTTCAAGTGTTGTGAGTGTTATGAATGCACATAATTCCAAAAGGTTCCCTCTCAGATGTCAGTCAGCTTTTACCTTTTTTGTAAGATATAGACAGGACTCTGCCCGTCTCATTGTATGCATATATCGCATGGATGGCCTTGCTTGCATTGTCATATTAATGGAGACAGCTTGAAATGTAGAAGTCTTTCAGTGAATGTAAATAAAATGAAATTATCTACCTGAGAGTTAATGTTCTCTGCTTTTTAAGTGAATTCTAAATCTAATGTTTGTATTTACAACATAACATCCTGTTCGTTCTCTCTCTGTCTCTCTCTCTTATATGGGCAGAAAGCTAAGCAAGCTCAGGCAGCTGTTTGATGTTGGCTTCAAGTGTTATTAATTTTATATTCTATTATTCTTTTCACTGTAGCACAAGTGAAGCTGATGTGGAGGCTGTCATGGATAAGTTGTTTGATGAGCTGGCTCAAAAACAAAATGATTGTACGTAAGTTAATTTCTCTTGAAAGAGAATACATTTAGAACACAATGCCCAATCTCCACTGACCAATTAATAAGTTCTACTGCTTTATATGGGTTGATGCCACACTCAAATGGCAGTCATTGTATCAGCATTTTGTCTAATTTATGTGTTGAATCATGTGCTATTATTCATCAAGCTATGCATTTCCTATCTGTAAGAGATGAGTTTTATAGTAATTATCCAGACAAGATTGAGTCTTTGTTCATGTTCCCATAGTAACTAGACCAAGGATTTTAAAAGTACAAGGCAGAGGACTGAGAGTGAATAAAGCATGTGGAACCATTGCAGACTTCACATTTGAAGAGCTGTGCGACAAAGTGAGTACACCATCAAGCCTGGTTGGGCTTTTCAGGTCTGTTTTGATCCTATCCCTGCTCCAAATAAGCCTTCAGATCTCCTTTGAGTTTATAACAACCACCACAACTGAATTGCAAAGTAGAACTATAAACACTAACAAGATGAAAAAGCAGGTACAGGATGTTTCTCTTCAAAGTAACCTGTGATATTTAACGTCAGTGCCTTTAAAAAAAAAAAAAGAGTCTGTTGATGTATTAATACCTCAGACCTAGGTGTTTTTATGAATCAGACCAAAAGACCTCCTAGATTCTAGAACATTCCATTTTTAGCAGTGGACAATATTTTGCAAGACTTTTTGGAAGACCTTTTTTGGTTTATGAAAACATCTGGCTTTTTGAGCAATATGTACTGGTTGTCAAGGTGAGTGGGCAGTCCCAAACTGCTAGCACAAAACCTCTTTGAAAGCCAAATTGGGGAAGTTAAAGGCAGAAACATCGTTTGAATATACAGGATAGTTTAATGTTTTGACGAAACAGCCAAAGGAGAGTAAAATAAATAATTTACATTCATACTGAGCCTTGCCGATACAAATAATGCCTGTTCTTCCCACCTGCACATCAGGTAGGCAGTTTGTGTGCTTTAATGAACCTAGCAATTATGATTTGTAAACCACGGCTTATTCAATAAAACAAGCTGACTTAGTCTGAACCCAGCCATATATCTCTCTGGATGACTTCTAAACTCCTAAACTCATCTCCTTATCTGAAGAAGGCTCTGGATATGCAAAGAAAGGGCAGTGTCTGCTTCTTTGCTGCCCATGGTATAAAAGTTGCTTTGACTGAAAAATAGTTACTAGGAAAGTAGCCTTGATGAGCACTGAGACTATGAGAGATCTTAGGAACAATCAACAGGCAGAAGTCATATCTCTCAGTCCTGTTTTTGACATTTACAGGTAAAAGTGGCTTTATCTTGGACTTTCAATACTGCATAGGGCATGGTCAAAATACGTGTTAAAATTGATATAACAAAACACACAGAAAAAAAGTATCTATCTATCTATCTATCTATCTATCTATCTATCTATCTATCTATCTATCTATCCACACAGACGAACCCAATACACAGGGCTGATGATGGCAGAGGAGATTCTGCCGAAACGTTGCTACAACTTTAAAAGCACAACTATAATGACATGGGAAAATACCCGAACAAAGCTGAATACCATACATATAAATACCCGCGAAAACATACATACATTACATACATACATACATACATACATACATATATATATATATATTCGTAGATTTTCATGTGTAGAGGTATGTATGTCCAGATGTCCAGACATCTGGAAATTAGCCCTCACCAACAAACGAGTCCCAGCCACAAAAACCAACACCAGACCCAAAACAACATGAGACACCACCGCCAATCCCCCTCATTTTTCTTAATGAGGTTCACTGTATTTCAGGGCAGCGTGTCTGTAAGCTCAGAAGTAGAGGATGACTTTTTCTTTAAAATATCATAAACATACTATTTTTTTAATCAAAGTGTTAGAAAATGTAAGAATTGAAAGTATTAATTGAGATTAATATTAATAATATGCCACATTTTCTCCCTTGTGAGAACGTGTTCCTTAAGTCTGCTGATATTCAGTTTCTGCTATTTTTTGACTTCATAATTGTATTTGGAAACTGCTATGCTGTTAATACATGACTAAATTCAGATTCTTGCCAATCTGTAGTTTAGTGTAAATTAACTGGTCATACATGAACAAACTGGAACAGGCTTCAGTCTTTCTGCATTTATATGCCAGAAGGACTATGAAAACACCCACTTTTTAAATCTCAATTCTGTCCATCAAATTCTGATATGGAATATTTTTTTATAAGGGCTTGTCAGAGCAGCAGTTCCATGTTTGTTTCTTTTAGTCATAGTTATAGCTAAGTACAGTTACTTAAATTAAAATTACGAATCTCTGATAGGTGAGAGTTTTTTAATCTTTCTCTAGGTTTCATAGAAAAAAATGGAATATAAGAGGCCAAAGCTGACAGTGGCTTGACATAATTAGTCATGGAGTTCCAAATAATTATATAGGAAATGATGACTGAATGTGGCTGCTAGATATATTTATAAATGTTTATTTGCCCATGACTACATTTTTTTTGCAACAACTTAACAGCTAAGTTATTATGATCACTAAAAACTAGTGTTTTCATATCAAACCCATTGATTTAAGGTTTTCTTCAGTATGTGTAATTTAATTTAAAAGCTATTAATCTATGTTTATTAAAAAATTATCATGGTCTAAAATACAAATGAAGCCTACATCTTGGATTTGTAAAGAAGAAGCCCAGAAAAATTTATAATAACATCCACTCTATACTTCTGTGGCTACTTCTTTAAATAACAAAATCCTTGAAACTATAGTCTGTGTAGCAAATACTGCCCTCTGATGGTAGCAACAACTTTTTAATATAATTATGCTTGAGCAGAGATTACTGTTTCCCATTAAGAATAGAGTGGACTTACTGATGCAGACTTAGTAATGATCTTAAGAACGAGGAAACCAATACCTGTTTGTTTCCTTTTTTCCATTTATAGACGCTTCTTCTAACAATACTACTCTAAGAAAGTGTACAGTTTTTTAAAAAACAACAGCACAAACATTAGACATGCACCTATCCATATGTGTGTGTATGTATATATACTGTATGTGTGTGTGTGTGTGTGTGTGTGTGTGTGTGTGTGTGTGTGTGTGTGTGTATATATATATATATATATACACACACACACACGCATACATACATACATACGATGGTTGCTTATGGAGGAGAGAATTAGCTAATAGTAGCCAATATCAGCTCCAACCAAATGTAAGCTCCTCCTCAGCAGATAAGGTTGTTGTTTTTTAATTCATGCCTGTCAGCCATCTATCAGGGATGCTTTAATCTGGATTCCTAAATTGTGCAGGAAATTGGACTTGGGGCTGAATGAATCCCTCCAAGGTTATGATTCTAAAATAAGACATGCATACGTTATAAGTGAAGGTTGTAAATCTGAGTTCTACATTTTATTGATTTGTTTGCTCTTTTATTGGTATTGAGGGGGAATAATCTGAAAACTAAGGGCTTGTTCACCAGCAACCTTAAGAAATGCATCTAGAGCCCTCTAGTTATGCTGGTGCTTAAAGTAAATTTAAAAAATGGATTCTACAATTACAGGAATGTTTTTATCATTGACAATAATTGTGAAATGTTTATGATTGCAAAATCAACACAATTGCCTCCTTCGTTATATTCTCTGTCCAAATGATGATGCTGGAGATGCTTCCTACAAAATTAGTTTGCAATATTCAAATTGCAATATTCAATAACTCTTATTCTTGCCATCTTAACAGAAGTAATCAATTCTAAATAAAATAGAGATCCATTCTAAATAAAATGGAAGAACTTCAGAGTGCTGAAACCAATAATTGCCTTGCCTATTAGAACAATAAGTAAGTCTGGATGTAAATTTTCTTAGCTCTAAATAAATAGCATAGCACAGATTAAAGGAATAGTAGTACTTCCCTCAGTTTTCTGTTCTTTTATAATGATTTGTTAAGCTCATAGTGCTGTTGATGAATAATTCCACTGCAAAGGAGAAGGCTGTCACTTTCTTCAGATGTAAAAACACTCAAAGCTATCACCATCCTAATATGGCACTAATAGAAAGATATCTATTGCTCATTATTTCCAAGAATGCTTTAATATATACCTCTAAAAATAACTTGAACAGAGATAATGACAGTTGTACTTTTGTTAACTTGGCAGTTAAATTGAAAAGGGAATCACTTAGATTGTAGGCTAAAATGGGCTAACTGATGAGGCTGAACTGCCATAAATGAATTTGGAGTTAGCCTAATGTTAATAAAATCCTATTTCTCCATAATAAGGATTATCAGAAGAAATAGCTACAGCAGACTCTCACATCATCCATCTTTTCTATGGTAGCAAAAAGACAGAAAACCAACTTGTAAATCACAAACGATGCAGGAAAGTTGGCAATTTCTTTTCTCTATTAACATCTAAAAGTTAAAAAGTCATAAAATTAATTTAAGTGTGAAATAGGGGCTGGCTGGTGAGTGCTTACCAATTTTAATCAGAGAATTGCAAGAAAGGACTGGGAAGGATGAGCATAATGATACAAAAGTCTAATATCAATGGAGCATGATTCCCATAATTGTTATCTTTTTAAATAGTACACATACATTCATTTTCTACAGTGTGTTATAGACATATGGATAACAGATAACAGATAATCAGAGTTGGAAGGGACCTTATAGGTCATCTAGTCCAACCCCCCGCCCAAGAATGGTGTCAGAAACACCATTTCTGACAAATGGCAGTCCAATCTCTTCTTGAAAGTCTCAAGTGATGGCGCTCCCACAACTTCTGAGGGCAAGCTGTTCCATTGGTTGGTTGTTCTTGGTTTGGCTTGGGAACCTGTCAAATTCCAAACATTAGTAAACTAAAACTCACTATGTTAGTCGATGTAGCTATTGCTGGGTAAGGTTGCTGCCTTTATAATTTTGTCACATCAAAAGGGCCACAGTTGTTGGTCTCTCCAATGATTATAAGAAGGTGAAACAATGTGTCGTGCAATCTCCTCTGAAACTTGAATTGGAAATTAACATTCAAAGAAGGTACCTGAATTGCACTGAGTATTCAGGTCAAACACATTGGCTATTTACAGAGCATTACATGACTTAAGAAACATTTTCTTAAATGTATGCTATTAAAAGAGAACAGCATGTTCTTCAAAGAGGTGATATTTTCATAAAGGCACACATTTTCATAACGGCACACCACCATTGCAAGCTCTATGCAGCCTACAATACTGGGCTAATCCTTCAAAGAAAACAAGTTCTGGATTCCAGATAGGTTCAGTAATTTGTCTGGCTCTTTCAAGAAAATTGCAATGTTTTTCAAGAACATATACCCAGAGAATATACAATTATACAGATTTTCCACAACTGCTGAATAAGGATAGTTTCAGTATATTCACAGCACTATGAAGAGTCAAAGCATCAGTATTCTAGATTCAAACCCTTTTTGCTGTCAGTTAAAAATTCTCTGGGAGTGTAATTGAGAAGGACACCTGGCTAAAATTTTGGAATCTGCTTGACTCTGCCCCTTTGTTGATGCAGCCTAGGATTGTGTTGGCTTTTTTGGCAGTTGCAGCACATGGCTGGCTCATATTTAAATGCTTGTCCACTAGGACTCCTAGATCCCTCTTGCCAGTTACTGTTGTTGAGCCAAGTTCCACCTATTCTATACCTGTCCATTTTTTCTTGCCTAAGTGTAAGTCCTTACTTTTCTCTACATTTTAATTTCATTTTGTTAGCTACGGCTCAGTATTCGTGTCTGCTGAGATCTGTCTGAATCTTGGGCCTGTATTCTGGGGTGTTAGCTATTCTGGCCAGCTTGGTACTGTTTGCAGATTTGATTAATTCCCCCTCTGGGCACACTTTGTCAGTAATAGGAGGAAGAAGATGATGAAGGTCAGCCATGGGTGACTGGGCCAGTGGAGCACAGGGCTGTGGGAATGTCTGAGGCTTTAACCTATGGCATTTGGGTGACTGGCCGCAGCACAGGTCTTCAGACAGCACTGAGTGAGTCTAGAGCTGAAGCAATGGCCCATGGGTGATAGCAGCCGGCTGACACTGCTGAAGGCCCTGGACCTCTAATTCAACTGTGAAACTGCCAACAAGTGCCACACTGTGTAGGGCAGCCAAAAGGGCAGAGATGGTGAGGGGAGTTGAAACTCGCTGGCAGTTGTAATGGTGATCTGGTTTCCAGGCAGCCAAATGTTTATCATATGATCATGGGCTGCTGCAACAGCCTTCAGGGACCAGACATACCTTTGGTTCATTGCTGCCACCACTTCAACAGTCACTAAACGAATAGTCATTAACCAAGGATGACCTGTTAACCGAGGATTTTTACCTTTTGCTTCAGAAACAGTTGTAAAAGGCAAGCTGTATTAGTCCAGGATGATCCAAATAAAAAAAGATTCTGGTGATGTAAATGATGTTTTGCTATCCTTACGCCTTCATTTTTCTTTCAGCCTTATCCTACTTTATTGCAGTATAGATATGGGGAATAAAGGAAAAACATGCTTTTAATCAATTTTAATCTAATTGATGTGCATCAATCAGAACAAATGTGCACGTTTATTCAAATCCATATATTTAATTTCCCCCCTCCTTTTCTGAGGAGGAAGCAAAATGGAAAACCATTTGATTGATTAGGACAAGAAAAGCAAATTTAAACAGAAAACAGCATTTTTGTTGCCTTTTGAAACGTAGCTGTCAATCTATTGATTTCTTGCTTCTTAATTCTCATTTCAGCCTCTTGGAGCCAGTGATTATTTGGAAATATCCAAGAATTTTGACTTGGTTTTTGTTCATAATATACCTCTCTTTACAATGGCAAAAAGAACCCAAGCTCGACGCTTCATCACTCTCATTGATACTTTTTATGAAAAAAAGGTAAGCATTTGTTTTTGCAGGTTCTTATGAGATGAATGCATCTTGAATTATCTTGGAAATGCTGAATGTTAATTAATTAATTAATACCTGGCAAAATGCATCAGCATATATTCATTGATCACACTGCATTACCATGTGAGCTATTAAAGCCTTGACTATTAAGATTAATGTGTTGTCTAATTGAATTTAAATTACTGCATTTTCTCCTTTAGCTGCTAGCTGCTATTAAAATTTACAATGGCTCAGCGGGTTAAAGACACTGAGCTTGTCAACTGGAGAGCTGATAGCCCAGGTTTGAGAACTGAGCTTTGCAGAATGGGGTGAGCTCCCAGTACTTGCCCCAGCTCCTGCCCACCTAGCAGTTCTAAAGCATGCAAATGCAAGTAGATAAATAGGTACCACTTTGGTGGGAAGGGATTTACCTTCCTTTCTGGAGAGAGAGAGAGAGAGAGAGAGAGAGAGAGAGAGAGAGGAGGAGAGGAGAGGAGAGGAGAGGAGAAGAGAAGAGAAGAGAAGAGAAGAGAAGAGAAGAGAAGAGAAGAGAAGGAGGGAAACAAATATTTCCTTGGTGCTACTGTCATTGTGGCCCATAAGAACTCTTTTTTAACAGTTTTTTTCATGGACATACGATGGGAGAGATCAGTCTATCTCTGTTCCATGTCAGTTTTCTGTTTTTAAGGTGCATTCATAAGGATTATTTTCTTCTGTTTTCAGATGAATCTATGGGTTTTTTTAAAAAATGGCTGTGCAAAATTGTGTCTTTAAATGTGTGTCTCTAAATGTATTTTCTCCCAAGATAGTATGTTTAATTATATTTCATTTGAATATATATGCATTTTAATTTTTAATTGCGTGTGAGGTGAGAATTACTTTGAAATGGGGAGATGGTCTGATTATGTTGTTATCCATACATGACCCCCGAAAATGCAAATGAGTTCTGTTTAGGTCAGAATAAAATTCCCAACATCCTGGCTTCTATTAATAATTCCCCCTCAGCAGAGAGCAGTGCACAAATATAACCCTTTTCCTATTGAACAAAGTAGGAGCATCTGAAAGGAAGCAAGTAGGCTAACATTTGCTTCTCCGAAATCCAGCAAATGCATCCATAGTGAGACTGCAATTAAAGGAAAAGCTGTTTAATGACTGTCTTTCAGAGTCTTGACATATTTATTACAATAACTCACAAGAGCTAAGGGAAAGAAACTAACCAACTATTTCCATTCTGAGATAAATCTCATAAGGACAAATAATGTTAGTTGTGTAAAAGAATCCATAATGATACTATTGTCCTCAAGCATTGTCTAATTAGCATTTATTCTTACCTCAAAATTAAAAAAGAGGGTTACCTCTCTGTTTTAAATTAACAAGAATCACCTGCAGCTATATTTAAGACATCTAGATCATTTAGGAAAGTCCCAATCTCTTTGCAAAGGGATTTCTTCTTTCTATGACCCTTCCTGGAAGGACAGCAGAATAGTATGTCACATACTGTAGTCATTCCAGAAGTACTGAAGAAAAGTGCTTTCCAAAGAGTGTAGTGTTGTTATTAGCCTGCTGCAATTTTTCAAAGGTTAAATCTGAAAAGATTTCCTTGACTTGCACATTAGAAAAAAAATGCAATTGCTCTGCATCTCTATCCTGCCGACAAAGTATTTTGTCAGGAAGTTTTGGTTTAATTGACTGAAAAATGCTGCACCTGTAAGATGTCATACCAAAATGGGTAGTAGAATGAAGCAGGCCTTAAAGAATCTACAAAACCCTCCTGAGGAGATTCTGAGGAGATCTGGTTTGCTTTCCAGTGTTTTGGAGCTCTTGGACAGCTGGATCTAAAAGTTTTCATATTTGAAGGAAACATAATGTCTGGGTGTTTGGCATTACCGAATGAAGGTGTGTGTGTGTGTGTGTGTGTGTGTGTGTGTGTCTTAGATCTATATTTCAACAGCTGTCCATAGAAGTTGACAGGGACTATGGGTAGCCATCCTACATGCTTCCTTGCTTTCTTGGTTTTATCCCTGGACTGAAAGGTTTTGGAATCCCTCATCTGATTTTTCCTGCATCCTAATAATGTATAAAGCAAAATTTTTTTTTAAAAAAAAAAAAACTAAATGAAAACATATTCCTATTTAAATTTGATTTAGTGATGATTTAGAGTCATGGCCTGATATATAAATAAAATAAGTATCCTTTAGATTGAGTTTGAAATAGCAATTCAGTATCTAGGTGTATTTTTGTTTCTTTATTTTAAAAGCTATTACAGAAGTAAGATAAATAATAAAAATATTTTAATATTAAAAGTTACTTGTGACTGAATGGCAGGGCCACCTCTACACTCTTCTGCATTGTTAAGGAGTGTCATGCATACCATCAGAATCAGAAAGCAGTTGTTATAAATGAACTTTCAAAAGTATTCCGCTTAAAAACAAAAGAAAATAAAGAGGGTTGAGAGATGCAATGGAGAAATAAGAACTCTTAAGTGATGAACTTCAGTCATTTTTCTTTGTTCCAGGTGCGTCTTATTTGCTCTGCATCAGCTCCCCTCCAGAGTATATTTATTCAAGCGGATCATGATAGTGGACTGGATGAGAAAAGGGTATTGATGGATGATTTGGAGTTGAGCCAGGTAAGCACTATGAACATCCTTTGCTGCAAGAGAACATAATTGTTTGGGTCTACGTGCCGGCATTATTATAAAACGAAAAAACATTTAGAGGGTCATTCTGTAGCTTTCCTGTAGGTTCAGTGTAGCATTTTTTCTTCTGCCGTAATTTAAGGTAATGTTATTTATTCATGGATTAGGATCCATAAATGTCCACAAATCTAAGAATATATTTCTAATGCATTGAAAAAAATATTGGGTCAACTGTTACAAGTTCCTCAAGTGCAATTCGTTGTACTTGTTTTACTCAAGACATTCAGCTGTGTATCAGTTTGAAGCTCTGTTAGAATAAGGAGCATCTATAAGTGTCTTTTTTCTTTAGATTCACATGGAAGAGAGCTGATACACAACATCTCCTACAATATGCGTACAAAACAAAAACCCACCGCAGTCGTTCATAAATATTCATTAATGCGCAATATCTTTTTGTGAATCCTTTATCATTCCCTCCCCCCCCCCCAGTTATTTATTGCAGAGTGAGCATTCTTGAGTTAACTGCTGCATATGAAAAATTACTACTAGCATTTCCCAATGAAAATAGATTTCATGGACAGTAAGTACTACATTTGCTAAGCTGCTGAAAGGTTACAAAAGGATTGTTCCTGTCACTCACCTGTGCCTTTCTTGGTAAAGGTCATCAGGGCTGCAGAACTCCAAAAACGATACCTATACAGGTGGCTTTCTTCAAGAGAGCCTGGACCCTTATCTCTATAAAGCCTTATGCTGACTTTGCACCCAAATCCTGGAGTTTGTGGGTGCCATCAAGCTATTGAATCTAACCCTTTGCTCAGAGGAGGAATTCAAATGGAAACGTTCCCAACCAATGGCTGTCCAGCCTCCATTTGAAATCTCCAGGGATTTGTGGAGGAAAAATATTTTTCCCCCTGAAAAACAAAGGTAGGTCAAATTGCTTTGATATATGTTTTTGAAACATTGATATGATAAAAGCGCCAGACTTACTAGCTCAGAGGATTTTTAGTAACTTATTGTCAAAAATTGACTCTGTATCATTTACAGTAGAACCAATGTAATCAATGTACATTTCAATTTAAGCAAAGCTATTTCTAATCAAGGTTGATAACTGCTAAAGAAAGGTTCAGATTTATTCTTAGATATTATCTAATTACTTCGGATATTAATGTTTAAAATATTTGCATGTCTCCTTAAGATCTCATCTCCCTTCATATGCTATATCCAATGTTTTTGTTTATTTTCCAATGTAATTTTAAATGTTTTATCTTGATGTTTTGCTGATTTAATGAAAATGCAAAAAGACAAAAAGGCTCAGACCCTATTGCTAATTAGGGCTGTGTTCCAATTTGGTGGGGACTTTAACCCTGACACGGAATAAGGCAATGCTGAATACTTTCCACACAGGACAAAGGCATTTAAGATGCCCTTAAAATCCTTCATGTGTCTCCATTTCTATATGTACTTCACTCACTCAGTTCACTGGAAAGGACAGGGTAACAAACTCAAAAGGGGACTTTTCCCTCCAGAAAGTACCATATGGCATATGTTCTGCAACACCTTGGTCAAGCATCAGATTTGGAAGGTCAAGCATCAGATTTGAAACAGGTTCATCGCCAGACGATCTCTTCTGACAATTTGCCCCAATCCCAGCAGGTTTGGAGCAGGCTTTGAGTTCATGAGAATGGAGAGAGCAATGGATGTATATTCACTGACACAAGCAATCTTTGTCCACTGTTGTCCAGGTCCTCTTTTATAAAGTTGCTTATGTGGCAGGGTTATTGCCTGCACGCCAACTGTTCTGTTTTTCTAACTTCCTCATTCCCTTCCTCACTTGTTCTTACTTCAGCTTATATTCTTCATCTCTTACTACCGTTCCCTCAAAATGTAATACTGGGAATGCAACAAAAATGGTCTGGACAGGTAGTTAAAGAAGTTTTTTTAAAAAAAAAATTAGTACCTGATACCCTCTCCACTGTTTCCTGTGAAATTTGGGATTTGGCCCTTCTAACCATCCTGCTTACCTGACAGGTAATTCCATTACAGTGAAGTGTAAAAAACAAAGACATGGATACATTTTTTTATATTTCTGCCCTCCCCACACTCCATGTTAGGTTTTATTTATTTAGTGTATGGCATCTACAGAGATCCTGCAGCCACAGATATATAACACTGATAAAACACATTATACATACACAAATAAAGCATCAACACATACACATATATAAAGTTTGGGAGTGTTTATAAAATCACGGGAGTTGAAGCTCCGTTGCCTTTTAATGTTTCAGAAACTGGAGTAAGTAGAGATGATATGGATACAAGTGAGGGCTACCCTTTGAGCCAAGGATCCAGTTGCAAAGTGGCTTGGTGGCCTGTGTGTCTTCCTCTTCATTATAGGTTGTCCTCATTTAGTGATCACAATTGGGACTGGCAACTTGATTATTAAGTGAAGTGGTTACTAAGTTCTTTACACACGGTGTAAAGCTCATAAACGTAGGAAGTGATCATAAAGTTGCCTTTTCATCACTCTCTTAGCCGCAAATGGTTGTTAAACAAGCGCGATCTGTACTAAAGAATTCTTTGTCTTGCTGTGCAGTGGAATTTCATTACTGAGGACCCAGGCAAGACGTTTTTTCTGTCTCAAAATTCCTGTATTTTTCTTTTTACGTGTCTCTAGGATTCAGCTGAAGCACTTTCTATGTTCACGGGAGAAGAAGAGATCTTTGCCTTTCAACGGACTATCTCGCGACTTACCGAAATGCAGACAGAGCAATACTGGAAAGATGGGGATCGAAGCAAAAAAAAGTTGCAGCCGGAAGGTTAAAAAGAAAGAGTAACTGAAAAGAAAAAGGGCTTCAAGCTTTTTAACTTGAAACTTTGTACATAATGTTAGTTTTAAAAACTACAGCATTATTTACTGGCCCCCTTTAATGCCAATCTATAGATATAACTTTATTCCGTCTAGCATGAAAACTTTATTGACCAAATAGAAAATTTCCTTTTAACTGATAATGATGACAGGAAAAATAGGTAAAACGTATTTATTATTGGCCACAACGCATTGTTGTTTGAACAAATAAAAGATACAAGGTAGAAACATTAAGTGCATATTTTGAACCTATCAATCGCTGTTCTATTGCTGGAAAATAAAATATACAAATGTATCTGGAGAATCCCTGATTTTTAAAAATCATTTTCTTTTAGGTAGCAATTGAAAATTTCATATACATTCACAAAGTCCCCTGGGTAACACTAATTCCACTTGCCACTTAATACGTAGCGCTTCTGTTTTTCTGCTGCCAGAGTATGTTCAAGTGATACAGATTCCTCTATTATTTATTTGTTCATCATATTTACTGTATAAAGCCACCCATCTCTCAGACAAGTGACTCTGAGTGACATACAATAAAGCTAAAAACAATATATGCAAACAAATATTAACATTATGCTCTCTGCTAGATTTGGTGGAATGGGCAGATGTAATCCAGAGAATGGATGATCCCTCAAATAACCCTCAGATACATATGAATTGGTATCACATTTTTCCTATTCCTTTTCCTCACCCTCCCATACTCTGATACACCGTATCTCTGTTGAAAGACAAAGTTCCCTTTCAAATAATTCTAGCTCATTTAGCTCTTGACAGATTCATTCACTGTCAATGCATTTCCCAGCATTGCTTGACTCCCATGACAAGGAATTGAGCAACACGCTGATACACTCAACTTCAATAGTGGAGAGATGCTACCAGGGTGGGTTTTTTTTTTCACATCTGGAATTTTTATGCCCATGGCCTCCCAACTGGACAAAAACAATACTTACGTTCTATTGAAATATAAGCATTCAAAGCATGACATTCGGAGCAAGCAAATGACAGGAAGGGAAAAAGCGTGATTAGCATGCTGTAGATTGGCATGACATTACAGGTAGTTGCTCCGCAGCTTTGCAACCTCTGAATAAAGCAACTCTTTCTGGGCCCTTTTATACATTCCTGTGGAGCAATCAGTCCAAATCTGGGAGTGTGCAGCTGTTGCAGAAGGCTAACCCAGGCTTAGTACTTTGTGAGAAAAGGTATTTAATTATTGCTATAATTATTGTGATTGCAAATATTGAAAAATTAGGGACACACCTGTAATATGTGAGATTTATGGCAGCCATTGCACAAAACACCTCTATCCCAAAATTAAAATAATGATTTATCTTCATACAGTTATAAAAGGTTTTTTTTTTATTTAATGAGTGAAAGTAGTAATATATTACTTTAAAAGTGTTTTTTTTAGAAATCACGGCCTTTAATGTATTATATTTTGGTACTACATTAAACTTACTTAAATATAATTTGGTGTGTATAAATTTAATAACTAAAGAGCAATTTATTTCCCAAATATAGTAACCATCTCAACATTCACCTCAAGCATTCTTGATCCCAATTATCAGAATCTAAAAATATCTGACTCCATTATTTCAAAATTAGTACCTATCTTTTTGTTTCTATTATGTGAGAATTCATGTTGTTTTTTTTAAATAAGGCTTCGGAACAATCTAGGACCTTATTATAACTAAAAACTACATGCAATCATAGTAATCACATCTAGGGCATTGTTGCACCTTAAAATAAGGTTCCAGAATCCAACCTAATCAGATACATGAAGTTTAATTCTAATTTGGTTACAACTGTACAACTTCTGTTTTCATTGCAATACATTGACAGGGCAAGTTCTCTGAAAGTTTCAATATTCTTATTCTGTTCATCTTTATTACTTTTTGTTTTTCTTTGTGCTTTAGATTATAAGACTCTTGGAGCAAGGACCCTTTAAAAATAATGTTAATCCCACTCTGCAACTGAATATTAAGCAGCAAGCCATATGGTCAAGTATGGCTCCCTTATCAAGAATGGATGGGAATGGCTTGATCTTTTTGAAGCACATCTTATCTTTCTTCGTTGTTTTTTTTTTTAATTTTATTGGTTTTTAAAAAACAAATATAAACAAACAAAACATAAAAACATCAAGCTATCTTCCATAGGTGTACATACAGTGTGCTGGTTGGTTTACAAAATGTTTTGTGCTTCCATTTCGTAGTCTTCAATTACAATTACATTGCATATAATCTCATATTTTCAATCAAAAATTAAATACCTTAGTATCATTATTAATCAATCATTTGACTATACTTTTATTCATTCATGTTTTACAAGATAATCATAATTTACTTAGTTTATTTTATAACAGTTCATATTATCATCCCAAAATCATTTTGTAGATATAATAAGAAAGAAGTACATCTTTATATATTTATTATTTTCTAAAAGTCTACATATTTCATTACTGTATTTAATTGTCTAACCATTGATAGAAAAGATCCCAAATTTTATAAAATTGTTTATCCTCTTGTTCTCTAATTTCAAATGTCAATCTACTCATTTCAGCACATTCCAATATTTTCTTAATGATTTCCTCCTGTGATGGTATTTTCTCATTTTTCCAGTTTTTAGTAAATACAATCCTAGCCGCTGTTAATACAATTACAATCAGGTATTTCAAGTCTTTACTATATATTTCAGGTAAAATTCCCAATAAAAATATCTCTGGTTTCAAGTCTATATGTTTTTTTGTCATTTTTTCCAACCACATGTGGATTTTAGTCCAGTATTTTTTAGCATCCGCACAAGTCCACCACATATGATAATATGAGCCAGGTGTCTGATGACATTTCCAACATTTTTCGGATTTATTCTTGAACATTCTTGCTATTCTTGTCGGGGGGAAATGCCACCTGTAAAACATCTTATACAAATTTTCTTTATATGCTGTTGACATTGTGATTTTATAATTTTGAGACCACAATTTTTGCCATTTCTCTAAATCGATCCCATATACAAAATTCTTCCCCCTTCTTGTCTTTCTTCATTGTTAGCAAGTTGCAGTATAAACATTTGAGATGATTGTTGATTTATTGCCAAAAGAATCAAATATATGTTTATATGTAGGATGAACTTAACCTGATCTTCTGATATTGGACCGTTTCTTGGACAAAAAAATTAATCTTTATTCAGTCTTGGAGACCTTTTTATCAACATCTTTTGTTTAACTTTGATATTTCATACATTATGAAGAAATAAATGATTCATTTTATACTCTGCTCTTGATAGAGACTAGCAAGAATCCTCTGATTTTGAGGATAAAAAAGATGGTTCAGTCAGGAGTTTGATTTTTATAAAGGTATAGGAATGGAAGAATAATAACCTAAAATATATTAATAATTTATATTATGGTTGTAATTTGAATAAATTAAATTACGCCCAGCATTTTAAAAGATTGTGAAACTATTTAATAGAAGGAGGAATGGTGGCTAATGAGAACTCACATTTTGTTTTGCAAAAGCTCTGAGTCTGTTTCCGGATGGAGATTATTCATAGAACTGCAATGGCTCACTAACTCATGGCCCATGCAACATCCTTTGTTTGAATCTGTTTTTTCTCCCTGTTCTTGTTGCATTTTTTTCATAGGAGTGAAAGAATCATCTTCCATGTCTCTAAAGTTTAAAATGCCAAAACTTTAAAATGCCAGAATAAAGCCTCCTTCTTGGTTTTGTCATTGGCCAAAAATAAGTCATTGTTGGCACATGTTTCTAACGGGAGCTGACGTACCAGCAGATGGGCCAGGCTCCGTGTCTCTCCACATTCACATAGCATGTTGTCCACTCAGAGCCTCAACATGAGCATGTTGGTTTTACATTTAGCCACTCCAACTCTCAACCTATTCAGGATCCTCCAAATAGTATAAGGGAGGTCAGATCCTTCAGCCATATCCTCCTTTAATGTTATTCCTTACTCAATGGTCTCCTTCCTCCATCTTTTAATTCAATTTTGTTCTTGTGTGCCCTCAAGAATGCTTGCTCGTGCCATAAAGGTGTTCCTAAATCTGAGTCATTACCTTTTTTTCAAAATTAATATTTCAATCAGTGCTAATTACTTTGCTATTTATGTATTTAATTTTTATTCCACCCTTGATAGCTCTAGATGGTGTACATACTTAATGCATAAACCTCTGATTTTCATCACAATGGGATCAGGGGACTGAGAGTGATTGGCCCTAAGTCACCCAGATGGCTTTAAATGTGCCAAAGATATACTTTAGTTGTCAGGATTTGGCTTAGTGTGATGTGTGATACCTGCCAGTATGATTTATAGCTGAAAATTATGTGATTCAAACCACTCTGGCTGGTTCAAACTATGGCTCTGTGAGTCAGCCAATGAGTTTTTCCATATTGTGTCTCTGTAATATAATGATGCTACTTAAAACTAATTTAAAAAAAACATTTGCAATCCTCCACTTTTTAACAAAGTGGTTAATAAAAGTGGTTAATAAAGTGTTTTTAATGATTTTCTGAGTACTTACAAGCATTTACTATTTATTGATCATGCCATACTATGATCCCTATGGCTACAGTTAAGCATTGGAGAAAAGGTCCAGCATAAATGTAAACATTAGAAAATGACATTGACATGGATGGCAAAGGCTTATAGGATGTTGCCATCCATGTAGGCTAGCTTCAATATTAAAAGATAATAATGGTCTTTTATTAATTATTTAACAGGAGTATTTTATTTCTTAAGTCTCCTCAGTTCTCAGAAGAGAGCACTTTTCAAATACTTTATTTACTAGTAATCATGTTAGAGATGAATGTGAAATTTGAATTTGTGGCTTTCCAGATGTTGGATTGCAATGTCCGTTCTGTAACCACTGGCTATCCTGACTAGGTCCAAGGAGAGTTGCCTTCTTGCAGCACTCAGAATGGCATAGGTTGCCCACTCCTGCTGTGTCAATGTAGAGTTTTATGCTTTGTTCTCTTTATGGTTTCTGGAGTGCAGTAGAAAAGTACATTTGGGGTTCACTTCCATACCATCCCACTCTGAGAGAAAAATTATAACTTGACATTTTTTTTGGTTACACCAGATTCTTAAATCTGGATGAAAAATAAAATTATGGATAACACTTCAGCCTCCCTGAGGATAAGAATAAATGATGATGAAGATGATGATGATGATGATGATTATTATTATTATTATTATTACTATTATTATTATTATTATTATTATTATTATTATTATTATTATTATTA